TCTTGTTGAAGTTTTTCAATAGCGATTAGTCCCGTTCACATAACCACTAAGAAAAAAAAACCAAAATTATATGATAAGCTGTGTAGCCGCATTTTGATTGGTTATTACCTATGATCTATTAGAGAAAAGACGCATAAATGACGTCACCATTAACGACATTTTGCTTTTCATTTTTGATGATATACAAAAAAAAAAACATATTCCATGTTGCCATCTGCCTGTTTCGTCGTAAAAGATCGCAGAAGTCGTCAAAATAGGGTAAAAACATCAGTGGCACACTCGGCATTTTTTTGTTCCAACCACCATCTCTCAGTATTACTAATAAACAGACACACGGCAACACGGAGTGTGCAAACCAAACGTTGTTTAGCGGAAGTCAGACATATTAACGAAAACTCCGTTTGAGAGAAAAGCGAGAAGTAGAAGGAACGTAAACTGAATTTGGCGCGAAAACCCCGACGAGACGGCGTCGAATTTGGCGGGAAAAAGCGGTTGCCAAGGTCAGTGATGCAAGTTTTATGAGAATGCTCCTGTACTGGGGGAAACTTGGGTAAACAGTACACTGGAGCGGACAAAACCAGTGTACCAATTTTTTTTGAAGACTTCAATGAAACGTTATTGCGAGAAGGGGAAGAAGAAGCAGCAAAGGAACACGAAAATGAATTTGGTGCAAAAAACAATACACCCGACCTCAAGGCCGTCAAATTTGCGGGACATCGTAGGAGGCACGGTTACTACTTTGCGAATATTAGAAAATACCACACTTCAGGATTCGAAGTTTGTCGCTGTAGCAGGAGACAAACTGAGAAAATAACTGCCAGGTAAGCTTTTTAAACATGACAAGTAATGCATAGCTTTGATGATATCGGTCACAGAGGAAAAATCGACAGAATTCTTACAGAATTTACTTGAATTCAATCCACGTCACCTCGGAAGAGCCATGCTAAAATCAAAAACACAAGTTAGAGTTGGTTGTTGAAAAAGTCCGTCAAAATGAACTGGATCTTTCCTCTCGAGTTTCTATCTATCAACCAGAGAATAAATGCATGAACATCATATGCTATGAATCAAGCTCGATGGTGACGAAAACGGCCTAGTTTATCGTTTCAAACACAATAAATTTAGCAAAAATAGCGGTCGATGTTACCCGCCACAGCTCGACGGCGAATAAGAATGCAAGTTATGCTGTTGCTATGTCTGACTTCCTCTGTGATTATCACGTTCCACGGAGACAAGGAAGAAAAGATAGACATTCTTAATCTTTCTTTCTCAACCTACAACTAAAAACGGCTGTGGTTCGATGCAGTTACTGACCCTGCTAGTCATATGTTTCATTGCCTGTAAACTAACTTTCCTTGAACCAACAATTGACTCTAAGCATGATTTTTTTAAAGTTTTGGTTAGCACTTTCAAAATTTCTCAAACACCGATAACTCTCTTAGCGCTAATTGGGAAAATATTTGATAGTATTTATATTCAAATGTAGCGATTCCTATGGTGAACATTGAATTAATTTAAGGTTGACTGGTTAGAAAAAATGAAAATGTTATGGAACTAGTTTAAGTCGTATATTTAGGAGGCGTAAATCAAGTACCGAACATTAGACGCAATAATAAACAGAACTTGAATATTCCAGTTTAAATTATAGTGACAGAAATTTCTGCGCGCAAGAATTGAAGATTTTAGATGCGAACATAAAAATGTTTTCCGTAGTTTATTTAGGTTTCTAGAATTATGAATACTATTTGCGATAAACCAATTTATCTGTTTGATCAAACAAATTATTCGCAAGTCTACGTTATCACATAAAATTTTTAGGAAAACTTCAGTACATTTCATCAAAGCTGGAAGAGTTAGAGCAGCAAGAATTAAAACTTTTCATCTGCATTGAAGTTTATTTAAAGCTAACATACCAAAGCAACAAGCGCTGCCGAGCCTGAACTTTCAGAGTTCTCCGGGCGTCTCCAGTTCAACACCGCTTGCAATTTTCACGGGCAATTAACAGCCCATCAGAAAGAACATTGCAAGGAGCTGCGTTTGTCGGGGTAGGGGTAGGTAACAAGATAAGTTCAGTAACCCAAACGGAACAAGAGTTTTGCAGTAATCAACAAGCAGGTGTACGATGAGAAACACTCGGTCTCGTAACACTGGACACCCATATTTCTTCACAGAGCTCTTTCTGTCGCCAAACAAAGCAGCACTTGGTGCTTTAGGCGCAGAAACATTTATAAGTTTACAAACCCGAGCTAGTATCTGCTTGTTGGAGCCTGGGGATAGACAGCATTTCTAGCAGAGGAATCACCACACAGAGTTAAATCACACAACAAAGAAAACCATTAACGCAGTGGATGTTAGCTCGCACGCAGCCATTTTTACGATGAGTCAATGCCACTCCTACCACAGTAAGGTATCAATATCTCACTCTCTCTCCAATCTTTGCCAATCCCACTGACTGGGAGACATTGCTCAACGATACCCAGCAGAATTAATCAGATATCTATTGATTTGTGGTTTTCCCACGGTCTGCTTCAAGATTGCAGAAGGAAAAATTTTTACTAAAAAATGTTGCTAGCAAAAGATTTTGCGCTTTGAAAAACACGTGTTTGTGGTAAGGAGGGCATTGGCTTCCCTAGTAACGACTGCAAAGACTCTCCAAGACTAAGGCTAAGGCTTTACCTTGCTCAGACGTCGACATTCGAGTTAATCAAATAACCCAACCTTCAAGCAACTCCTCTCACAGCCACCTTAAATTTGGGCCACCTCTTCATGCATGTATCACAGAATGGCACAGAAATGATTGTTTTGAAGCAGAGTAAAGCTCTCACGCGTTACCCAACACCAACCATTCTCTTTAAAAATTACTGGTTTATGTTTAGAAAAACCAAGCCCCCATTAAAATTACTTGTTAGCTTTAAAGTTTAGCTTTCAATCAATGTTTAGAGTGGTTTCAAGAGACTACTTATGTTCTCCCTGATTTAACTCTGCACCCTTCACCTTCAAATGGTTAGCAGCAGCAAATTTATCCGAAGTTAAGATATAAGAAAAACCACTTTTAAAGCAAAATCCCAGTTAAATGTCATCAAAGTAACCCTATCAATAAGTCGATTTAAACTTAAGTCAATGCATGTTAAATGTTGTTAGTTTGGTCAGGCAGACCAAATAAATGAAAACTAAAAACAACAATAAGCTAACATAAAAAAACCACTAATAGATGAAAGTTAACAAGTGATTTGAGAGCAAAAACATTTCAACAAGTGAAAAAAACCTAGATATATAAATAGAGAAAATGGAGGACTGAATGAGTCAATGAATGAATGCGAGTATGACGTTCCCAAGCCACTCCGCACACAGGTTTGACAATGTTTAAATATTAGAGCAATTAGTAATATTTCCATCACTTACTTCGGGTTAGCCCATGGTTTCTTTTCGCCGCCCCTACAGTAACAAAAAACATTACCGGTCATTCAGTGATAGTATTAAAAGTTCAAACCCCAAAAATACAAGAATAACTTCTCTTTTATTGACTGGAAAACAACAATAACATCAAAATTCAAAATACACAATGCAGTGCTTTCAATAAGATTTGAAGTAAGTGGCTACCTCGGTAAAGCACCCGCCAGAAGTAATATGAAAAACAATTTCGATCTCGTTCGCCTATTAGTTCCATTAGAGTAAAATTGCTTCAAACAGAGTTTTCTGTGGCGAACTTTGGTAAATGGTCACTTAATATTAGTTTACTCCTTTGTAACAATTTTTTAACTGATTGTTTATTTCTACTCAAAATCTTCCATTTGCTGACTTGCAAACCTGCTGCCTGAGTATCACAAAAAAAGTCCTCTAAAAGGACATGTAGTTACTGGTTACTGAATTTTAGTCAGTATGTTTTCGTAAATTCAAAATCTTATTTTTCCTGGAAATTTGGTTTACGGTATGATAAGACAATATCAATCGTTTTTTACTCAAACCTTATTTATAAAGGTAAAAGTCGCCTGAAAGAAATCTAAAAGATCTCCAGGTGTTTGAGGTCTCACTTCAGCTTCCAAAAAGTCGCAGAAAGATCCAGAATGGTGTTAACCATCTAACATCGCACAATACTAGACACTTTCAACAGGCAGTAAACAAAAATAAAACTACATAATACCCTGTGTGCATCAAATTTCCGTCGGCATATGTTCTCAAATTTTGAGGCTACGATCCAAACCTTTCTTCGCCTGATCTTTGTTTACATAGGTTTCTTCTGCTTGCAATTGGAAACAAACCTCTCAGTCTCCTGTTTCGAACGCTGAGCGCATTTTCTGTGATTGCAAGTTTTTGTTTTGTGCTTTGTTGTGTTTTTTCCTTTTTTTTTTTTGTAACTGGGTGAAATTGAATATTTGCGGCTGTGAATTCCACCAGTTTTATTTCGTAGAAAAATCTCAAGATTATTATTTTCTGCAGAATTGTTCATTTAAATGTTTACATAAGATAATTGAATTAAATCAATAAGGCAATGAATTTTAGCTGTTCCCACGGCTCGTGTTTCAAATCGGATCGTAGCCAGTGGTTGTGATAACGTAGAACAAGGTCTTCTTCGATTTTTCGACAAATGCAGCTTTTTTAACAAAATTTTAGACGCTAAGCGTTTAATAGCCTTTTAGTAGTTCTCTTCACAGCCATGCCTAGGTTAAGCGTCTTTTAGCAAGGTCAACATCTTTGCAAAAAATTTCAAATTTGATTTACGTGTGCTATCAACAAGCGAGCTGTTTTAACTAATTTTGATTTTCAAGTTTGTTTTCCAACCAGCAGCTGAGAAGAACTGCTGTTGTTTTATTTATCTAAAAGTATTTATTACTGGGGTGATTACTCCAGTACTAAATTGGCTGTTATTTTCTACGTTATTTATTTACCTTTTTGTTCTGTAAATTTGACCTGGACGTGGCAGAGTATACCCGGCGATTCACAACAGAATACCCGCCGGGTGCCAGGTGTTATCGAAAGCACTGTATACAAATTAACTATACTTACGAAGGGTACTGAGGTGGGGCTGATGGATAATGATGTCCCATTTCGAACGCTTCCCTAAACAGACAACACAACAATAGTCAAAGTACTGCCCGCAAGTTTCCAGTAGTTGGAAATTGGTGCGGAAATAACGATTGATCTAACAATCTTTTTCTAAGAATAACAAACAAGTACGCTTTTAAACATGAAACTAGCCTCTTTTTGTTAAAAGATCCATTCAAGTGAAAAACAAAACAAAAAAGGACTCCACATCACTTTCAGATTTGACCATAAGTAACCAAATTTGTATTTCATAAATTGTAGAACGTTAAGTTATAACAGAAGTTACTTACACATCCTGATCAAATTCATTCTCGTAATCCATCCGGCGATAATGTTTAGCAAGTTTAACACAGAAAATTATTGCAGGGATGAAAAAGAACAGGCAATATCCAATGGAGAACCAGAAACCATTCTGAAACAAACAAACAAAAGAAAGAAATTATACTTGTGTTCCGATAACAATTTATTCATCATAAATCATCTATTCTTTAATGAATTAATAATGAAAATCAATCATTACAGTTGGTCGGTCTGTCAGTTGGCCTGTCAATCAAATTTCCTCCAATAATAGTTAATAATAACTGTAGTGTTTTGTTGCTAACTATCAAATCAATAATGAAATATGTACAAATGCTTAAGATTAAAATGAATCAAAGATCAGTAAGATGTGACTTACAAATGGGTACAGGGCTTGCTTGCAGATTATAACAATAGTTGCATCGTAAATGTTTGCCACAGGTTGACATTTAGCCAAACTATTGTCTAGCTAAGTGATTGAAAGCAAAGAAGATATATTACTTGAAACATAAACCCAAAAACTCCCCTCAGTAAAATCTTACATAGTGTACAAGAGAGTTCATTTAGACTGACTGGCTTATCATAAAAGCAAACCCAAAGATAAATACGTGCATTCCCTGCGAAAAAAATGTGCAGCTAAGAAGAACTAGATGTAGCCATGGACAATCAACAGCAAAATGTTCTTATAAACACAAACAAAATACATGTATAATCACGCTGACTAATTTCAAGAATCACTTTAAGGTTTCAATTATACACTGAAGCTTGTTCTTCATCTGTTTCAGGAATCAAACAGCTCCACACAAGTCTAAATTTCTTATATGTCCATTACTTACAAGGTCTTTAATGTGATCTGTGAACTGAAATCCCCAACCTAACACTCGATCAGTGAAGTTCTGTACAATCTACACCAAAACAAACGCAACAAACATTAAGATTAACAATGGCAAACGCATGCAGAAAATTGATCAGCACTTTAATTCTTGACAATCTTTCTTTTTTAATTTCAATTCAACCCTCTTTATTTTTACATTGACACTTGATCTAATGCCTGCTACAGGTTAAACTGATTTGAGAGATGAATCATCTCAATACTATGGCCTTGACCACAGCCAGATCATAACTGGGAATCTACCAGCGATCACGAAACATTCATTTGACCTCCTATTTGTTCATTTGTTTGAATATTTGGTTTTCCTTTTTTTGCTTTCTTTTTTTTTTTTTTTTTTTTGCTTTCTAATTAACCACTCACTAGGATAATTTTCTGCAACCATATTTGCTTGTGTCAGGCTCTCCAGGAAAAGGTTATTTATTTGAAAATCTTCTACTCTGACAGCATTAGCCTTTTTTAATTACATTCACTTTTCTATAGTGAGTACGTGTAGTCTACCATAGGTTTCATGAAACATTACCCTACAACTTACAACATTTTTCAGGGCCAATAATTGAAAGCTAAAACTAGATAACTATTAGCGGCGGACGGTACAGTTAGATATGAGCAGACAGTGCAGTTAGATCTGAACTCACAGGTGCCTAGAATTACCCTTAAAAAAGGAAGAATTGACCAAATAAACACAAGAAGAATTGTGCAGAAGTGGAAAAGTTATAGCTGAGTAAAAGACTTCATCACCAAGTCATGAAGCCCCTACCGTTTTTGTTTCCTGTTATTTAATTGTGTTTTCACAAAAGGACAAAGTATGTCAGTACTTACTTTGTTGATGTTAGTAGCTGATTGAGTATGAAGATAGCTCTCTGCTTTCTCGGCTTCTTTCAAAGTATTGTTTGCTAGTTTCTGAAAGCAAAATAATGTTAACCCTTTAACTCCCATGAGTGACCAAGACAGAATTTCTCCTTACAATATAAATAACATGTCAAGCAGACAAGCAGTGAGAATAAAGATCAATTAGGGGATTATTAGTTGATCCAGTACCAAATTCTCTGAACATCACAAGAATTGTATAGCAGACAGTAAGGAGAATTACTAATGAGATCTTGGGAGTTAAAGGGTTAAATTAACAACTAAAAGAAAGCAAATTTTATGTACCTCAACAGTCATTTTTCTACAGCTAAACTGACTGCCATGTTAAGGAGATTATGGTCAAATAGGACTATGTTATAATGCACATTCTTAGTAGTGAGTACTCGAGCTGAAGGACGTACAATTTGACTCTATCAACTTGGTATCTTTACATATCAAATAATGAACAATCAAAATGTAGTGTTGGGCTATCAATTGTATTGATTGTAATGTTTTGACTGCTATACTGCAAGTGTTTGGCAGGCAACAAGGTTGAAAGTTTACATGTTGCTATTTATAGCACCTTGGTTTGCTGTTGGTTGTTTGATCTAGGTTATAGCACCTTTGTTTGCTATGAATAACTTACAGCAAACTTCAGGCCTCATTCCCTAACAAAGACTTGCAGTATATAGTAGTTAAAACATCAAGATAAATAAAACTGTTAGCTTGACTCTACATCATGAGACAAACGACTAAACAATAATTTATCTTCAAAACCTCGGTGACCAACAACATTTTCAATGACACCAATTCCATTTGTAATGCCTGCCTGAATGGTTGTAAGGTTACAACCCTCAGCAGTGACCAAGCAAAAAGGAAGAGCTATTGACATGAACCTCATTGTGCAAAAAGTATCTGCTTGAAAGCAAACAGTTGTTGTTCCATGTTTTGTAAGAGTTTATGTATAGCGAACTCGAGAAGTAAATAACAAACTGTTGATTTCAGATCAATTTTTCCTTGTGAATACATCATCAACATCAAGAAAAACAAAATAGTGTAGTAGTTTCATCCCCAAGGTTACTTAAGCCTTTTCTTTGCTTAAAGCATAAGCAAAAAACGATTTACCTTGAGATCTCCTCCGATACCTTTCAGGGCACTCACATTTTGATTTAACTCTATCTGTTAAGAAAATATACATAAATTAATTAACCCAGTATCAAAATTCACCAATAGAGTTGCATTACCTCGAGAAACTTACAAATTGTTTCTCTTGGACTTAAACAAATTCTTGAAAAGATCAATCACATGAAATACCCTGCGCACAAACAAATTATTTAGGAGTTGAATAACACATGATAATCATTTCAATCAATAGTCAAATAAATCTCCCCTCCAAAAGCTGTGTATTACAACTAAATTAAAGGCCTTCCAAGGAAGAATCATGAACCCACTTAAAGGGCTACGTGGCTTTGTTGGTAGCTTATTAATCTACGTAAGATACTGTAATTAATGTTCAGAAACCTGGTTAAATGAAGAACCTTTGTAAATTTCAAAATTTGACAAACCATATTGATGAGAAAATATATTTCCTAACCGACTTATATTCCATATCCTTCACTACAGTTGCCTGTAGAGTACGCAGGGCTGCAGCAGTGTCATTTGCTTTTTGCGACAGTTCCTAGAGGTACAAAAAACAGGAACAATGAGATGACTTTAAGTAATTTTCAATTAAGCAAGGACAGTAATCAAGGGCTACACTGAACATATTTATAATGGCTTTCCTCAGTAGTTACAAGTACTCACTCTGACTTGAACAATCACAGAAATTTTAAAAAAAATTTGATCTGTATTGATTTCCTACCTTCGTTATAGAAGAGGCCATAAGGTTAACAACTAATATTCAAAAACAGCATGGAGTAAATTTCTAACATTTTCTAAAAAAACAAATTGTGAACTTACATTTGTCTTATTTTTTTCTGCTCCTTCAGGGAGTGAGTCTGCTGCTTTTTTAAATTCCCTACCTAGATTACTGATATTCTGGGCAAATTCGTTGAGATCAACAGCTGTTATATTTTTTGTAGTCTACAAATTAAAAAGACAAAACAATAACTACGTAATCTTTCAATATGTGATATATTATAATTACAGAGAAACTGATAAATAACTAGATAGCAGCCTTGAGAGCCCAACAACTAACTTTTATTAGCTGTTACTAGGGAAAATTTAGCTGACCATGCTAACTGACATTGTTCTGCTTATATTTGACTAAGTACACTCTTGGTAAAGATGTCAAGTGACCCAGAACAAAAGTGAATGGTTCTCAAGTTTTTCAAATGTTTGCACATTCAATAACTCAACCACAGATCCATTAATTTTTCAAGATTTGTGTGTTTGAATATGTTGATCGCCAATTGGCAACTTTTGCTGAAATTTTAATGCCACATATATTTTTCACTTGCCATGGTAACCAAAATGGTGTTAGCTTGGAGCACTGTGTACAGGTGGACAATTGTTTGAGTTCCAGGGGTTTTATATAATTCACTGCTATGGGATCTGTAAAGCAATTTGTATTCTAGTCCAATAATCTATAACAGTTAAAAAAAAGTACCGTAAAAAGCCGCAGATAAGCCGCACCATTTTTCCAAAAATTGTTGCTAGAAATTGGGGGTACGGCTTATCTGTGGGAACATTTGAAAAAGGTGTTCCATTTTCGCATCCAATCTAATGACTGGTTACTAAGCTTCTAATGTTCAGCTCACATTCTTGTTGTAATGCAAAAATCTATGGAAAAACTGTGTTGAATGAAGAAATTCCTGTTAACAAATAGTTGCTAAATTCAGGGTGTGGCTTATCTGCAGGTTTTTACGGTAAACAATAAAACTATGAATAAAGTAACAACAAACAACCGATTTAAACTACAGTTTTACCTCATTCAAAAATTTAGCGAAATCAATGTCATCAACTCCTGAATCCCTAAGTTTTGTCAGGCTGTTGCGGGTCTCATTGTTAAAGACATTCACATTACTCAGATTGACCTTTAGATCGTCAAACTGCTGTGTAGTATCATTTCCAAGCAACTGCAAAGGTAAACAACAACAACATTTGTGTGACCAAATCATATAACCTCAAGAAAATTCCTGGTGATCATTTCAAAATAAGCAAAACTTACTAGAGTAGAAATCAAGAATGTCATAATTCATTAACTAAAAAACCATCAAAAGTCATTGAGCACATGATTTGTGACAACATGAATAAAAAATTAACTCAAAAAAGAATTCCACCACTTTTTTAAATTTCCCAAACATGTGTACTCACTTTTTCAGTTCTTGATCAATCAACATTTTGCAGTTATTGTAATTATTGTTTTGGGCAACTTCACTCGATCCTAAACCCTAAATACAGTATAATACTGTAAGATTAACCTTTTCGATGTCCAGCCTGTCAGAAATATTAAAAGCTTCATCAAAGGGGCCAGCTTTGAATAGTGGTTTGTTGTTGCGACAGTTGCTAAAGTAAAAAAGGTAAAACAAAAATGAAACATAGTCATAACTAGGCATAAGAAGTTCCTGTTCATGAAGAGATGACAAAATGGTTGAATGGTGAGGGGATGGTATTCTACATTGCACACCTGAGTTAGTTAGTAGTTTACTGAGGAAATCAAAGTTCTCTATTGGAACTGACATACATTTATTGACCTTGAAGCTTTCTTGAAAGCTTGCATGTAAATTACACTCCAAACTGTTTTGCATTACAGAAGACCACTTGTGATGGTAAAAAGGTTGATATGCTGATCTTAATCCACATTTCTGCACATTTAAACCTTGAAATGTGACTGCAATTACTCTTCAGTGTAAGAAATATCTTCCACATATACCCACAATATAATATTAAACAAACATTTTTTAAAGGTGAGAACAAAGTGAAAAAATGTCAAAAGCAGGAAGCATCACTCACTCAATGAATCCGCCAATGGTGAAACGTATGTTTGACTTATCTTTACCAAAAAAGGTTCTTGACAAAACATATCCATCATCACCCCAAAACTTCTGATTGTCAAGAACCTGAAAATTATATTTTGATTAGAAACAAACTAATGTCAGAATTAATACTAACTAGCTCTATCATATCAATCACAATGTTCATGATTTCAGTATTTGCCACACAATGACACAGCCATAAATCTTTTACACTTTTTGACCCTGAATGCATGTAATTATATAGCAATTAATGTACTTGTTGATTTCCTAAAATTGGTAGAACATGTTGGACACCGTTTGCCTATAAGCCCCTCCCATTCCCACTTTTAGCACCCCTTCCCCCCCCCCCAACCTGTTAATGAAAACAAAATACATCTGATTAGAAGCCCTTCTGGATATTAGCCCCAACTCTCTTTTAGGAGATATTATTACTAATAATTACTAAGATAATATTACTCTTGCTAGTTTGGTTAGAAGCCCTCTCAGATGTAGGCTTCTCTGTTTACAAGCCCTATTAAAACCCATTACAGAGTTGTATCAGTCCAGGGCTTAGAGGCAGCTGTTTACCATAAGCAACTGTCTTCTGTCCTAAAAGAGGTTCTTCAAAGACTTCCAGACCCCAAAATCATTTTTGATTGGGGTAAAGGTGCTAGCCATGCATTTTTCAATTAGGCTGCTTGCTTGGACTCACTGATTACATGTAATATTAAGATAGGTGTTCACACAAACCTGAGAGTACAGTTCTCCAGAATCAATAGCTGTACACACTGTTTGCATTGGTGCTCCAATAATAAAACAGATTGTAGTCAATAGCATCAAAAATGATGCAAAAATAAAACAGAACCCAGCAGCACTATAAATGAAAATAAGAAACAAATTAGAGAAAGACAAGTTTTATTGTTTTCAGCTACTACTGAAAAGGTAAATCAGAACTTGGTTGGTATAGGACAAGTTTGCTTTGGAAAAAATTAATTTTTTACTTCATCATAAAGAGTAACCAAGGGGTTACAGCACTTCTAACATTTGAGATTCCAAAGGGTAACTTAAGCTCCCAAGACCTGTCTTCAAACATACCTACAATTTGATGTCAAATGCTGCCATTTTGAATATTTCTTAGCAATCTTTGCTTATCTGGTACATAGAACACAACATGGCTGCCTTAAGACCATAAAAGCAAAGAAGCCTGTGGCCAAAGCAAAAGCATTCTGGAACGTTTTGGTTTCCTTCATTAGAGTTGAATTCTGGGAAAGTATGGGCTAGGATTCTAGACTGTTTTCAAATGTGCAAATTTTTAGCACATTTGCGGACAATTTTCCAAGAAAAGGCTACTCTTTGAAATTTAAAATTGCTATCAGCATATTTTGAATTATAAAATAATTCAAATAGTACGTGTGCTCTGATTGGCCATAAAACCATTTTACATGAGCGTATGTAAACACGGTTTTCGTTCCTCTTTCATTAGTTATTTTATAAAAGAAATGTAAAATGGTTTCCGTGTTTACATAGCCTGCTGTAAACAATTGGGAGGTTGGGAGAACACTCGATAAGCTGGAAACCACTCTGCTTCGTGTCGTGGTTTCCTACGGTTATCTCGTGTTCTCCCAACCTCCCACGTTTTTACATCAGGCTATGTAAACACGGAAACCATTTTACATTTCTTCAATGGAGCATAGCATGTACATTAGAACATGGAAAATCAATAAAATGTTTCTTACGCCATTAGAGAAAGACCTCCCAAGTTAGACACTGTACCCCGTGTGGTTGGTGAAGCTTCCTTGTCATGACCACAGACACCACACATCAAACCAAGAGCCATCAACACCACAACAAGGAGAAGAATGCAGGTCAACCCAACACCAGCCATCCATCTGAAAATATGAGTTCCAGATTAATCCCAGATTTAAGCATAAGATAACTAAAATACCTTGGTAAATGAAAATTCCTTCCCTAATGATTTTTCAATCCACAAATCTGCTAAATCACCATCCTTTCCATCCAAATTCTTTCAATTTGAAGGAATAGTCAATCCATTCTGAAGAATCAAAATCTTTTTCCGAGTTAAGCAAAGTCACTAGCAATAGGAATTACGGTCAACTTGCCGACGGACCAACTCGCCGACGCATAAAATCGAGTAGAGACGTCGGCAAGTTGGTCCTAAATCCAATACAACTTATTAGAAGTTAAACATACAGAAGAGTAAACGATATTTAGTAAAAAAACACTGGTGAACATTGGTGAACATCAAACAGAAGCACAAACATTGGTGAACATTGGTGAACATCACCAATGACTATAACAGCTTAAGATGCGAACGAGTTATTGTGTGACAACAACACCGTAAAGACTCATCATGTCAATCGCTCAGATTTTTTAAAGAAAACTTAGCTTTCTAGACAAGATCTTTAGTAAAAAGCAATTCTTTTATTTGCAACAAAGTTTATACTTTTCTGTATGTTTAACTTCTAATAAGTTGTATTGGATTTAGGACCAACTCGCCGACGTCTCTACTCGATTTTATACGTCGGCGAGTTGGTCCGTCGGCGAGTTGACTGGATACCAGCAATAGTGCCCAGTTCAGTACCAGAAAAATATGTGAATCAGCCCTAGCAGGACTGGAGATAAAGCAATCTGAATGGTAATTTTAGTTATTAAACTCCACCATTAAATGGCATTTGCTTTGTAATAAGAGGTTTTCTGCTATCCAGCATTTTTTACAATTTGTTTTCAATTACATATTACACTCGTCTAGACAATTACAGACTGTACATTGAAACATGACTGATGCAGTTAACAAATTGTGTTATTACTGCAAAGAACATTAAAATTTAACCAAATGGTCATTATCTTCTCCTAATTTTTCTGACAGTGTATTCTGATGGTTCACTTTACCTGTAGTTGTCATATTTTTCTGCTTCTTCTTTGGCTTTTGGAACAGTATCAGTTTTAAATTCCTCAAGCTTTGAGATGACATCCTATTAACAAGAAAAAAAGTCAGTAGAATCAGACCTGGCCTGGTTGTTGAAGGGTGGACCATGCTATCCACTGGATCAATTTCTATCCAGTGGAGGACCAAACAAGTTTTAAAAAGACTTATCTGCTGAGTAGCTCTCTATCCCTTTCACCCATCCACCCTTTGAACAACTGGGCCAGCAGTTGACTGTCTTAAGATGGAAGACTACAAACCAAGGAGGGATAGAAACACATTCATCTCATTTAAACAAAGACTTTAGTGCACCATTTTATTTTTTTCAATTTTTTCTCCAACCCCTGTCTTTGTCTTTCTCAAAATAAAAACAAAAATAGTTCCAATGGAACACAATCCATAACTACTGTAATGTTGTTTGTATAACCATATACATATGTTGGGCTGAAGACTTACATCATTTGAAATTTTCCTAAGATCATCTCTCATCTTGTTGACACTGCTAGTTGCATTGCTAATCATTTTGCCAATATCTATAGAAAAAACAACAAAACAAAAAAAGCAAAGAAAGATTACTTCTATCATTAGATTTACTGTGAGTAGTTTCCATTTCCAACTTCAAAATATGTCTATCACAGATTAGGTAAATGGTGACAGAAAAAAGTGGAGATAATCTTGACAAGTCTTACTAACTGGTAATGACTGCTGATACTTTCACTCCCAGTTAAACACATATCTCTTGCAATTGTAAAGAGCTTTTAGGACTATGGGTTATTTTAAGAAAACTCACTCTACCTACCAGGAAGTTTGTCTAACCTTATCACAGGTTTAAATTTTCAGTGACATAAAGAACATATTTATGTGTACCTTTTCAACAGGTGAATCTCATGCTCAATGACAAGGAGAAACATTACACACAATTTGACGAATACAGGACATTTCGCACAAAAGACTTTTCACACAAGTCTTTTAGCACAAGTTTTAGACTGTTCGCACAATTCTTAGCGGTCATTTCGCACAATAATTATAAGTGAGAAACATCAATGTAAAAGGTATACTAATTAATACTGATAAAACATTTCACCTTCACATATCACTTTCAATAAGATCCAACGGCGAGAATGTAGATATTTATTTACGTAATAACTTCAACTAGATCGAAATGCTTGTGAACACGATCACTATTTTTACTTGAATAAAGGAACAAATCTTTCTCTATGAAAATGTAAAGAACTCTCTATTCAAACGATTACTTCTTTTACTTTTCCTTTGTTAAACGAAAAACCTTTTAGTTTTGACAGTACATCATCCACTACAAACAAACGAACATGACGACCCAACGCTAAGGACGCCATGTTGATTTCTAAAGTATTTGTCACCAATCCTCCCTCCTCTGAATTCAAAGTAAAAACCTGCAAACTGTTTCACTTTTTATTTAAAAGGAGAAAAGCCCTATTTACAAAATTTCTGTGTAAATATATAAAATTCAAGTTCACGGCCATGTTACCCAACGAATCATACAAATTTTAACTCACTTAACTCAGTCAAGACTCATAGAAATTTAGCCCTCACCTGCATTCATTTAAGCTATAGTACACCTAAATTTCTTTATTTGTTTTGATCTTAAGCTTGTATGATTACTTATTGAACGGCTAGCGTATAATCTTTGAATCATTTTGAATTCTTGAAACTTTCGTGAAATCATTTGTTTACATCACGGTCGCTATGACACTTATTGATCGATACTGAACTCTCCATCGCTTAGGTAATTGTTATTAGAATAATTTGAAAGGTTACTACTTGATAGATGTATTAAACTTCTCGATCTTTAAAATGATTACAGACTGAACTTGTCTTTCTACAAGATCACTAGTTACTACCTACACTGACACATTCAAGTTGTCAAATCACTTATGATTATTGTGCGAAATGACCACTAAGAATTTTGCGAACGGTCCAAAACTTGTGCTAAAAGACTTGTGTGAAAAGTCTTTTGTGCGAAATGACCAGTTACCCAATTTGACTATGCATTTACATGTTGAGTATTAATCATATCAATTCATGGTGAAAATGGGTCACTTCTATGTTGAGTCAACTTAAACCCTTGTTTCACAAAACAACACTTGCATCTCTTGAGACGAAGATCTTGTAAAATAAACAAGTCATTTTGAGTAGTACATTAAATTGTATTTGGACACCATTTGATGGTGATGAATAAATTCTGTGTTCTGTTTACCTTTTCGTGTTTCACTTGTGTCATTGATAACCTTTTGGGGAATGTTCCTCACCTCTGCAAGCCCCTGAGATTAAATAGATGTATTCATGAGGCTATTACTGTCTGAAATCCTTCAATGCACTTCATACCAATACATTTCAAGAAATGCTATAACTTCAAATAACAACCTTCTCCCTTCATTTGTACCTTATCTTAATTTGTTCCAATTTTTATCTTATTTCTAATAATATTAACATTGCAACTTCTCCCTTATTTTTTTCACATACAGCTGTATTGTAGTTGTTTACCATCTTCTGCCATGTTGGGGGCTATCATTTTATTCCTTCTTGTAACCCCACTCTTTTTTGACACCCAATCTGTAAAAGCCACGTAACATAGTGGGGTTATTTGCCATTTCCAGATACAGCACTTCAAATCAGAATCTGTAAATTTTAGAAGTTTTGATGCAAATAATGACATCGAAGGTATCAATAGGTAAATTGAGGCAGGGAATAACTTACTTCTTCTGCTGTCTTCTCAAAGTCTTGGTTTACAACATCTTCAACCTTTTCAAGTTCAGTTGAGACATCAGGAAGATTTGTAAAGTTTGCCCCAGTAGCCAGGTCATCTACGTTGATTTTATCGCAGGTAGAATTAACACCTCGCACATTACTGCAATCATTCTTAATATCTGTCAAGTTTTTCTTAGCATCATTCAGGCCCTCTTGAAGTTGTTCCGTCAAGCTTGACAGACTTTGGCTAGTGTTTTTGATGATCTCAAGCTGATTCTTCATTACTTGAGTGTCTAATAAAATGAAATATTTAAGTAATCAGAAAGAATAAGGTTAAAAAATACATTTCAACCCTCATAATTTTTTAAACAGAGCACAGATTTGTTGCTGAAAACCACATTTATGCCACTGTGCCAATGTACACAGTTCATCTAAGAGTTAAAGACACTCTTAAGGAATTCTTATGTTTCAAGCAAAATTGGAAATATTATTAAAGAGAATCTCTCAGGAAATGGAGTACACTTTGGCGACAAAAGCTGAGTACATTAAAAATGTCATAACATTCAAGTGTTTGCCCAAGTAATAGACAGATCAAACACTACACCAATGGAAAATCAGTTGGAGAAAAACCTCTTGCCTCCAAAGTCACCCACTTTTTGAGTTTCATGTTATTGTGCAGGTTGTATATATGAGTAGATTTGATCTTTCCCACAACAATTCATTATTTAACATCTTTTAGAAATTATTATATGGAGAGGTAGTCCTGAGGTACATCAGAGTGTTCTGATTAGTTCTTACTAGGTAAGGATTTTGCCATATGGACCATAGCCACAATAATCAATACAGAAAATTCTAAATAAGCAAGTTTAGTCCCACTGCCACATGACTAGCTACTTATTAAGCTTGTTTGCTCCAGCCATACTAGTGAATATTGGCCCTCAGTTGTTTTGATATGAACCTTGCTACCCTTGGTCCATACTACCAAGACCAAGGCCACCAGTCCTCAGTGTGGCCCTCATACTTAGTTGTTAACAAGTTATTTTACATGTATAAATTGAGTTTGCCCATTGTGTTAACAATATATAAGACTTGAACATATAATAGTGTACTCACTCGCAGCCAAATCCTTTACTGCTTCTATAGGCTTAACAGAGACTTTGTCCAGCTCTTTCAGTAGAGGGTCACCCACAAGACTTTCAAGACTTGCATCAGTAATGTCATTTTTCAACTGATTCATGACAAAACCAAAGTCTTTACCTAGGAGTTTGTCAACTTCCTATGCACAGATGAAAAGAAAAAAAGGAACATGATGATTTGTTTTAATGTGTGATAAAATTCTTTTTCGTTTTTTTTTTTGTATATTTTCCTGTATTCAGGCTCTTACTGAGATTTGCACGCTATAACTGGTCAATGGTTATCCCAGGTTGAGAACCTTGTCAAGATCTTTTATGATCATGAAAGATCTTGGATGATCTTGTCAAGATCTTTATCTTGGAAGGATCTTGCCAAGATCTTGGCAAGTTGAGACCACTGAAAGATCTTGCTAAGATCTTACCATGTAAGATAGTAAAAAATCTTGCCAAGATCATTCCCCTTGCGAACTGAATTCCCAGTTTTCTGGGAATTCCTAGGAATTCTCGAATGTGGTACCCTTCTTTTATAAATATGAGGGTAAAAGACGATTTGTAGTCGCATTCAAAACTGTGATTGGCTTGTGTTATTTCTCACCTTTGCCATTAACACAACTCAAGTGAGTTTCAAATCGTGCATTTGTAATACGATCGATTCTTGTCGATTATTTCTACATAGAGTGAGCTCACATCTTTATTTATATCACCAAGCTATCCATCTTCGAGAAGCAGAGAACCGGTCGGAGAAGTCAGAATAAAGTTGGGCGCTTCGCCTGACACTGCAATCGGCAAGCCAGCGGATTCACTTTGCTAGCCAATGACAAGTCCTAAAAGATCCACGTGATCATGCCCGTGATCGGAAACAAAGAAGACTCCATTTGGCGCTCATCTTTGAATGTACTTTTCATCGGTTGATCGCTTTTCTCAACTGTTTTGCTTAATAAAACACTTCTAAAGATAGCTTTTATTGTGGTTCAATGGGAAAACGAGAATAGTGTGAGTGTTGTAAAAGAAAAGAAAGTCGTTGGCGCCGTAGAGTTAAAAGAAGGGACAACAGTTGACATTGACTGGTACAAACAAGGGTCGAGTGGCCATCTGTAAACCTACGACTTTGAAAGTTTGTGGTGAGTAAAAATTGCGATATTCGTTACGTGATCAAAATCTTATAAAATAATAGATGTAGCGGGTTGAATTAAGCTTACATAACGCCGGGCGCAACTGAAACTAGAATAATTCTGAGAATCGAATCGGTCGCTTGCATGCCGCAGTTTCTTAAGCTTATGCTTTACAATGAAATAAACCTATCAGTAAGGTTTCAAGATTCCTCTAGTCACGTTTGGGAACATTCAAGATTCATAACAAACCTTAGTACAAAAAGAAGCCCTCCTTGGTAAAAACAAAATAATGTATTCAGCCCTTTTTTAGTAAAATCCATGAGAGAGATGTACTAACTCCAATATAAAAGTCACTCAATATAACAGAGATTTCTCAATTTGAGAATCCAATGAATGCCCTTTTCCTCATAGCCATCTTAAAAGCCTGGTCTGAGCTTTAAACATACATATTTTAATATATTATTTTTTTTCAAATTCAGATGTCAAGGAATCCAGATACAAAATGGTCAAGGTTCTTGTTGACAACCTCATTCAAGGCCAACTCATTGTGAGCCCAGGAAAAAAAATACAAACAGTACAAACAGCAGCTAAGTTTGCAGTTTAGGATAACTTCATTCTAATTTATTGTTACAGTTACAACAAGATTTTAATCAAAAAATCAATTTTATTTGTCTGTAATTAGCCCCTTCACTCCCAAGAATATAACTATATAAATATAACTTAAGATAAATTGTATTTTATGGAAGAGAATCAACAGATTTTATTTACAATTTGTGTCAAACCAAATTTAATGATTGATTAGAACTATTTTATATGAATAGCTGTAATTGAGGATTAATCCGTATGAAGTTTTCAAGAAAAGAAAAATAAATCAAATTCCATCCTAATATTACCACACACTGATGTTAGTAATTAATCAAAAATATTTTACATGTAAGCCTTAATTAAGCTTCTAAATAAATTTCATTGAATACTTGAATTTTAGCTGGGTTTTTTTAATTTAAAGTATTTATTTTATATCATTAGCCTCAAATTTTTGCTTAAAATTCCCAGTAATTCTTAAACATTCCTAAAAATTCCCAGAAATTCCCAGAAATTCCTAGGAATTTTTTAGATTTACAGCTTTTCAGTGAAAGTTATCGGTTCTCTGAGTTGGAATTCTTAGGAATTTCTAGGAATTCCAAGTCCTGTTGACTATAAACTTGGAATTTCTGGGAATTTCTGGGAATTTTTGGGAATTTCTAGGAATTTCTAGGTTTTTAGAACCAGAATTGTTATGGTTGGGAATTCCTAGGAATTCCTAGGAATTCCCAGTCCGAATTTGCCGTGAAAATTCACACCTTTATTCCTAGGAATTCCAAAAGCCATTTCGCAAGGGTTGTAAGATCTTGTCAAGATCTTACCATGATCCTGCATGATTTTACAAAAATTTTGATCAGATCATAACCAAGATCTTGACAAGATCATTAAAAGATCTTGTCAAGATCTTAGCAAGATCTTAAAAATATCTTTCCAAGATCATTGAAAGATCTTGTCAAGATCTTAGCAAGATCCTGCAGCTTCTTGCAGGATCTTGTCCAAGATCTTACATGATCTTACCAAAGGTCTTGCCAAGATTTTATCAAAGATCTTGCCATGATTTCATCAAGATCTTGTCCAGATCTTACCAAGGTTTTCAACCTGGGATGACACATTGTAATTCATAAAATAATTAAGACACTACAGGCACCCTGATTGTAGAAAAAAGCTAACCTTCACTGCACCAGTAAACCCATAGTTACACTATTTTATAAAAAAATTGAATGCACTTGTTGTCAGTTCACTGCCATAATTACCCACTTGGAATGTTTGGAGAATATTTGAAAACTTGCCTCGGGCTTGTGATTTTCAAACAGTCCTTTCAATATCCCATAGGGGTTATTACACTGGTAAAGCCATACCAAAGGGGTAGTCTACATGTATTGCTTGAATAATCAAGTGGTCAGAATCAGACAAAAACTATTGATGATGCTTGGGACTCCATTCAGGGCGTGAAATTGCGCCTAATACAGGCGCCAATACGACTAAATTTTTCACTTTGGCGACCAAATCCTAAAAGTTAGTCGCCAAATTGGCGACTAGAACGTTTCATCATAACCTTACCAAGAGATACCGTGAATTAAAAAGATTTGCAAAGATAAATCCGCAGCAAACTTCCTTGTTAAGTTTGTTTCCAAAACGTAGCACATGCATCTCGATCGATAACTAGATGCCATCTTGGATTTAGATGAGCCTGAACGTTGTATATCATCAATCCTAGTGTCCACTTTGTAGCACGTTAAAGATCTTTTCCCTAACTTAATTTTGGAGGGTTTATCTAGAACGCTGACAGCGTAAAGAAAGATTTTGTTTGTCTTTGAAAATGGCGACCAACTTTTTTGAATTGGCTACCACTTTGAAGAATTTAGGAGCCAAGTGGCTATCAGAAAAAAAAGTTAATTTCACGCCCTGCCATTGCTCATGGTTTAGTCAAACCCTAGATTCTTGGTATCAGACTGTATTTTCCAGATCAGAGAGCTTGCATTGTGATTGATTGGCCTTCCCTTTCAACTTCTAAGTGCCACAAATTATTGAAATAGTCAAGAAAGAAAATTAATTAAAAAAAAAAAGATCTCAACTTACCCCAACTGAACGGTTAATAAATGTGACTGCTTCCTTTACAATAGCATCTGAATTGATTTGCATCTCGTCAACAGTTTCACTCATGCGATCATTGCAAACAAATGTCAACAAGACCCCAGTACTGGAAAAAAAAGTTACAAGACAGTTTATCTAGTTGCAAAAGTCAAACAACAGCACAATGGGCTTAGGTTAACCACTTAATTCCCATAAGTGATTCAGATGCAACTTCTCTCTATAATACCAAAACATTATCCTGTAAAAAAGTATCAAAAATACTCAAATCTATCAAGTAGAAGTTGTTATTTTGATCTAACACCAAATTTTCACACCTAATTTGCAAGGAAATGTAAAGCAGATGGAGGGGAGAATTTGCAATCAGATCTTGGTGGTTGAAAAGTTAACCCTTATGAATTCAAGAGTGACCAAGATGTATGTATTACATTATCAAAACATTTTCAAGCAATCCCATGTTAAGAAAACACATAAATATCCACAAGGGGATTTTGTTTGGTTTAGCACCAAATTCTCAAAGGTACAATTATAGGAAGTGTATGGCAGAGAGCTCTATGAATTAATCTTTGGATCAGTCTAGGAAGATCATTATTTGGCAAAGAAAACCATCCAGTTGAGGAGACTTGGCACAGACAGGCAAAAAGCTCAAGGTGTTAAACGGAAATACAGGCACCAGTTGACAGCTGCTGTTAAGAAACCAATCATAGCAGTGTAGTGTACCCTAAGTACTCTATTTCAAAAATCATTTCTTGCTCCATCTTACATGAAAGTTCCATACAACCAGCAGAGGTAACACAATTGTAATTACCATTTTAAGGTGAATCTGAGATCTTCCCAAAAGAGAGGAATGGTCATGGCACACAAAGGAGTGACTCCACAGATTGCTTCTCACAATAATCAATTAAACTCTTAAAAAAGTAAAGTTAATTATGAGACATTAATTTTTCACTGATAAGTTTGTTACTTACAACATCAGAAGTGTGATCACTGTAAGAATCACTCCAAACACAGCTCTTTTGCAGCCATCATTTGATCTCTCTTTCTGTGACATCTCCCCACCACAATTTCCGCAGCAGCGACAGCAACAGAAACAAAAGCCAACAATTGGCATAAGCAAACAGAATAGGAAACCAATTCCCACACAAATAATCATTCCTATGGCATAGTTTTTAACAATCTGTTGGGAGAAAAAAAAGGAAGATAAAAGTGGATTTCCATTTTTGGGTGCATAAGAAATGCATAAACAAACGTGCGTGCGCAATTTCAACTGCTACCTAAAAATCAGTGCCACATGTTTTGGATGACAAAAATTCCTTTAGTAAGTAATTTTATCCCAACCCCCTAAGAAAATTGTTTAAAACTCACATCATTCTTGATAACCTCTTCGTCCAAACCGTCATCTTTGATCTTGATAAGAATATCTGAAATATAATAAGATTCAGTTTTGAAAGTCTACCAATTCATGTATTTCATAAAACTTCAGGAAATGCTGTTTGCAAAGTAGTAGTAGTTAATTTAAAAGATAACAATTGAATTGGTTGTCAACTTAGCATGAATAATTAGTCGATTAAGTAAACATCTGGCAGACTTGGTTTACAGCCACCAGCGCTTGAAATTGGAATAACAAACGGAGGCTTTAGGTGTAGAAAAGCTTTGAGCATAAATTCAAAATGCTCAAACATTTAGGCGGGGGAAAGGGGAGGGTTTGACTGAAAGCCTTCCTATTTTTCTCTAACCTTTGCTACAAGAGTGTAAGTTGGGCACTGGAGAATCTAAGCCATTTCCTGTTTGGACATCGAGTATCTTCTCCTTTCAGCTCAAAGAGATGATGAATGCAAGATGAAACCTTGCAACATTTCTTGATGAAAACCTTCCCGAAATACACCCTTGCACAGTTCACTCTTTTGTTTTTTTCTAACAAATTTGACATCTGCCAGATAGTGTACATAAACTGATATTTCTCAGAGAAGTACCTTGGGGAGCAATGTGTTGAAAAGTAATAGGATGCAGTCCTTCAAAGTCAAAAAATGAGACAGGTGAGTGCAAGGTAAAGACAGGAGGGGTTTAAGTTTGTGCCCAACAACATAGGAAAGTCTGTGAAATGCCACCAGTTTGTGCTGTCATATCTTTTATTAGTTTTCAACAGATTCCTCTCAAACTTTGAATTTGGATTGACTTTGAGGATATCTGAGACAGCACATCTTTGTTAAATTTCACCAAATTTCTATCAAACTTGGATTGAATCCGCATTGATTTTGAGGATATCTTTCCAGCAATTCTGATGAAATATTTCTATCTTATTTCTATCTACAAACATTTCGCTATCGACATTGCTGATCCTAGCAGCATGCAGGACGCACGTCACATGAACTTCGTAATAGACCTTGCTCTCCGTGGAGTCTCTGTAGCTCAGTGGTAGAGCATCAGAGTGCAGAATTCAAAGGTGTGAGGTTTGATTCTTCATAAGGACTCAGAATTTTTCCTTGTCCCACGCTCCTGACAAGATGAAAAAATGTCTTTCTCTATTTCTTAACTGGGCTCAAAATTTACCATCTCTCTTATTTCTAACTACAAACACTATGCTATTAACATTGCTGGTACTAGTAGTATGCAGGATGTGTGTCATATGAACTTCATAATAGACCTCACTCACCGCAGAGTCTCTGTGGCTCAGTGGTAAAGCATCAGAGCTCAGAATCCCGAAGGTCTGAGGTTCGATTCCTCATGGGGACTCAGAATTTTTTCTTGTCCCACTTTTGTGACAAGACAAAAAAACATCTTTCTCTAATTCTGATGAATGTTTGCAAACAATACTCATGCTGAGTTTTTTAATATCTTCAAATCGCTGAATTACACATTTTAGTCTTAAGGTTTGTCATAAGACATCATGCCACTTCAAAGTACACACACTGGCAAGGAGACTGTTAACGCAAGAGCCGTGGAGGAAATCATTGTGTATTTGATATTGCCCTGCCATAACAAAGAATGCGTTTAAACCAAATTATGAACTGCCTTTACGTACAAACTTCCTGAGTACTTACAAAACCGAAAGCCAGCAAAAACGGTCAACAACACACAAGCACAAAACTTTAGATCGTATTCCATTCATTCCGAATTTCAAGCATGTACTAAACCTATTTGTAGTTTAGCTTCCTTCTCTTTAGAAATCTGAACGAATATCAACTCGCCCAGCAGTAAAGATACCAAAAACCCTGTAAAAAAATAACGATAGAGCACAAGACAGAGATGAAAATATACATCTGTACAGATTTTCATAGCGTGAAAACGACCCTCAAATAACATTACGTATCTCGCGCTCGTTCGCGTCATGATACAAAAAACAAAACGCTTTCGATCTGAATGCAATATTTGAAATAAACAGAATCTTCGTGTAAGAATTATTCGACAACGTCCTTTCAAAAAAACCGCAAAAATGGCTTCAGTGCGATCGGAAATGTATTTGCTTTTCGGCATGAATTTGTTTAACAGGAAAGAACACAGTGTTTTGATGTAGATCTTTAACATCGCACGCAACGATCTGCAAGCGCCATTCTCACACACTGCTGGAGACAAAGCACGAAAAAAAGGGAATCACAATCACGCAACTGATTAATAACAAAATCCTTCCGCACTGCACAGTGGAAAGAATCCCAAAATCAAAATGACAATATACTCGACCAACCCATGAATTTCACCATTTCAATTTAGCGTTCACCTTCGCCATCGTAAAGGATAGCGAAATCCGCAGCAAAGAGCTTTGATAGAGATGCTCTAGGCCACAGATCTCCGTTTTACTGTAGACACCAACGAACACAAAAGGATGAACTCTACTCACCGTAAGGGTCTTTACTGAGAACTGTTCCGATGAAAGAATTTGCGAAATTGTACCAAGGCTGTAGTCCTTTTGCGTCGTATTTTGTCTTGAGATCAGATCCCTCATTGCTTGTATCTTCAAATTTGTCATTCCAAATTATTGTCGTGCCGTTAACTGTCGGCGTTCCACAGCTCCCAAAGGCAACAAAACAAAAGAAAAACAAAACTAGAAATGCAGTTGCCGGCGACGACATTTTATCAAATCACTGCCAAATAACAGAGGATATAGCTGATGTTGACTTTCCGTGTAAAAAATGTAACGACGTAACGACTTGTATGATCAAGTATTTGCAGATAAATCCCGTGAAAACCAGTATGTCTTTCGCTCAAACCTTAGCAATTAAGAAGACGTTGGATGTCACGAGGTTCTTGAGAATTCTTTAACTAGGAAGTGAACTTTTCCCTGGATTTGCAGGCAGCACGTTCAAGCAAATTGCATCAATTCCTTCGTGACCACTTCAGATAATTCAAGCGGAACGTCTTCAATCTGAAAGTCGAACACCCAAGATTATTTGCAAATGTAGATATAGACTACAACCTCTAAAGAAAAAAGGATGAAGAAAATATATTTACAGCCGAGGTAGATTTTGAGCCACAAAGCCGCGCTTGATAACGTTCAATTTCTCGACAAGTGAGGATCGTGACGTCACGCAAACGTCACTCATACGATCATACCCTATAATAGTTCTTTGTTTTTCTCTCTCAGAGTTCATTTCCATGGAAACAAAACTCCTTCTAAACAAGATATTGACACGGTAATTTACCATTTCGACTCGGTTCTCGGTTGGAATATTGTTGGTTGACTGCTAAAATCACGAGAATTGGTGTGCACCTTAAAATTCGTGAAACTTGAGACTATTGAAAATGTGGAAACGAAGAGCAATGGTTCTTTTCCTTCAAAGTAAGACCAAGTGCCAATCAGCATCAGGTTTTAATACAGCGATAAATACAGCAGTTGCTATGTTTATATCCCGGAAACATAAAATGAATTTTTATAAGACGTTGTCGTTGTTGATTTCTGAGACACGCGTAAAAGTCAGAAACACATATGTTTATGGCCTAAGTGTTCTTGTAAAATTCAATACTTGAAAACCACAGAAAAAGTGGATGTTTTCTCTCTCTTCATTCTACAATACGGAAACCATTTAAGACAGTATGACAATAAATTCCTCACGTTGATTTGTTAGTGGTGGAGGCGTGGATGGGGGAAGGTGTTCCATTAAGATTAATCACTAGGAATCCACGTCAAAAAAAAGAAAGTTAGAACAGACAAAGAAACTGATATAAAATATATTAATATAAGTAAAAACTAATATCTTTTAAGCGCGTGGGTGACATTTCAGTGCAGGCTGACCATGAAATAATTTTTCCCCTTATTTACACTGTTAGCATGAACCAGACGGATTGAATTTTTACTTGAACCAATAAATAAATTGCTTACTTGGTACTTACTACGAGAGACACTTAAGTAGGGAAAATTTCAGCTGGCACTATGAGATGAGGAACTGTCTCTCAGGACAAGAGACAGGAATTTACAGCAAACCACAAGGTGCCATTTGCATTAGTATGTCATCTGCCCAACAGTCCATATCATCAACATCATAACGATTAGACATATAAATCTAATAATTCTTCCCTCTTGAAAGACAACGTATTAAGATTTTCCGACGCTTGTGCACTTTCTAACTTTGTTGACACAATCGGATTTATCGACTTTACTTCGAAGAAGTCATAATTATTTATGTTTGCGACAAGACGACCACGAACTGTGAGAGGAACAAAAGGCAGCCCTTGTGCGGTATTAGCGGTGGTCTCTTCCTAAAGTTTCCGTGACGAAGTCGAGCGAAATGAGCGTGACGGTAAATGGTAATTTTGTTCGCTCCTTCTTCTGCTTCTCCGGGAAAAAAAGTCCTTTGATGATTGTTAAGAGAAAATCGGAGTATGAGGTGACTCTAGAAAATGAAACTCTCCAAAGAACCGGCATTTTTTGCGATAAAACAGGTAGAAAGAACTAAAATTAGCGTTGAGGTGTGACTACATGAATTGAAAACACATTTCGATGCACAACTTAATGACCAAGTAGATTTCACCGCATCAAAGTAGCTAGAAGGCCTCAGGACTTCCAGTAAAGTTAGTGCACGCAGCGGTTCGAGGTAAAATTTCCGCACAGCCCCATCCTACAGTATGCATTCAGTTCTTGGTTAGAGGAAACAATGACAAAAACAATACATTGTCATTGGGAAAACGGATTTGTTCTATGGGGCTTTGCGGAAATTTTACCCGGTTCGATGTCGAAGCGACATGATAACTTGAGTAAAAGGAGCAAGAATCTTGAACTTGAAGCATACCTGCGAGAAATCCGCTGCAGTGATAAGAAATAAGCACACGCAACAAGGCTCCTATTCAAACAATGGTCTATATGAATTATCCTGAGCTGAACAGTCATGCTCCCCAGACCACGCTCTAATGGGGTCAATGATCACGTTGTGCTAAATACTTTGTATTGTTCTAGGTTATTTTTAATTGAATCAAAACAGAAGTTAATGAGTGCACAGGAATGCGCAGCATAATTTAAAACAATCCTAAAGAATTTGCAGAATAGCTTGGTGACTGTTTTCACAAAATTCCGAGTCAAGGCAAATTGATTTGTGTTTTGCTTTAGGAGTATGACATTTTTCTACGCCCTCCGGGCTTTCATTTAAGAGGTAGAGCGCTCAAATTAGTAGTTGAAGCCTAAACTCTACGTTGATGAATTAATGGCTTTTAAGAATAACGATTTAAGATAACGATTAAGTTACTCATCGACTTCATTTTCAGCAGCTGTAAGAGTAATTTTCATAGCCTTTATTTCTTTGGCGGGAAAACTCGTGCGGTCCTCTCATCGACGAATCGGATGCAGTTAGGAAAGAGCGCGTCTGACTCACTTGTTTCTAGCAGTTTTCTTCCGCAAACTTTGAGTTATCATTGGCTCTCTGAACTTCTCTACCTAGTGTCGGTTTTGTTATGACGACATACAAATAAAATGCACTCTTTTATCCAGAGACCTATCTATCTTGAATTCCACTTTAACCAGTTTATAATTTCTCATCAATTAGCGGGCGTGTAATGCAATTTTTTTTTCACCGGGGTACATGCTTCAAGTCCATTTGCACAGGCAGGTGAGTGGGAAAAATGTGTCGAGTGATGTACACAGATTGAAATGACTGAGTTACGCTGCACAATTTATTTTCCATTCAATGTCCGTCCATCCTTCTTCCATTCATTCATGAATTCTTTCGATCTTTCGATCTTTTCTTTGTTTATCAAATAATCGATTAATTTTATCTCGACGAAGGCTTTCCGCTTGCTGTGAACTACGTAGTCGATTCGGGCATGAAAAATAGTTCATTGTAGATGTAATGTTATGCAACGAGCTCGCAAAGTTAGGTTGAGAAGTTCATTGGGTGACATCTACCCCGAAAAAGGCCACTAAGTAAACCAAACAAAAACCCAGCCTTCAATTTACCGGATTGACTTTGACGCACGCACCGTTGTAATGCGAATAATTGGGAAACTATGTCATAAGGTATCAGCAAGACAAAGGTCACGTTCAAGCTTATCAAGCGAGCTTTTGATGCCTGCCAACTAAGACTGTAATAATCACCCGATAGCAGTGTGTATTTACGTCTGCACGTCTTCTAATTTATGAACTTTTTCGAAACTTTTTGGAAAACTACGGATGACGTATATTTGTACCTATATCTTTGAATTTTCAAATCATTCCCTCGAGATCGTTGAAGAATAAAAAGGAAAAATTCTACAGAGAAACATGGTTATTCGTTAATAGCTCACGAAAGAGGAGAAGTAAACAGGAATTAACGCAGTATTTGTAGCCTGTGATTATCGGCCCTGCAGCAAGTTAATTATTAATCGAGATTATGTCATATGATTCAAAACAGAAGCATATAACCTTCATCTCGGTTGTATCCTTCTGTTAATAATAAAAGCACCTAGACTCATAAATAATTGAACTACAGTTCCCTCGACAAACAGAGCTTTAAGTTGCATTTCGCGCAAGTTTTTATACAGCCCATCTAAAGTTCCCTTTGACTTTCAGTGATATATTATTATTTATGTAACTACCACGCTACAATGAATGACATTGCAGAAACAAATATCGAAACGATCCTGTACAACACGAGCTTCAGGTTGCCATGCAGCAGGATCACAGAACAATCATAAACTAATATAACTCAATAAAACTTCGTCTTACCTTCTAAACTCCCTGCTTTCTATGAATAAACACAAGTGAAAAATAAAACCACTCTCAGTATGACTTACGTCTCTGATTAAGACTTTTGCGTAGGACAACCCCTGATGACGTCACAAAAGGGAAACGGAAAGCACACACAGATATGGGCATTTTGAAAACTATTGTGTCAAGTGGAGAACAGTTCTTGTTCATTGAATGTAACTTGAAATTGTTTTGAATTTTCGCCACTTTGTTCTCCTGTTGATTAAAACGGTTGCCGGCGGCGGTCATCTTGTAAACCCTTGCAGTGAAAAACCAAATGAAAGCCAATCTTGACTGAGTTGTGCTCGTTTAAGAGCGATTAGATATAGTCACGTTTTATTTCCCTTGTACGGCGTGTAGTGTTACATGCTTAGATACTGAGGTAAATGAATAAATCATACATTCATCGCATGATACGGTTTAGTAAGTTTTGAATGTATCTCACCGATAGAAAAAGTCTAATAGTTTGGCGCTTAAATATATATTTAAGAGTCTAAACTTTCTAACGTTTAAACCGAGTGCTCTTCACTGTAATTGGAAATATTTTTGTGAAACAGTTTTCACAACAGCAGTCGCGAATAAGGTAAAATGTTATGAATAAGTCTTCCGCTTTTAATGCTAAATCATTAGAAAAGGAAAGTTAATTTTTAGATCATATGATGCTCAAAGTTCACAAAATTTAGGCGAGAAGGAAGGAAGTAATTAACACCCAGACACAGAGCCTGAAAAGGTCATTGATGCATTCACATCTGCTAACAAAATTCCTCTGCTTTATTTAGCGGAATGTTGTGGACAATAATCGTTACGTATAGGTATTCGAACTTGTAAATCAAAGTGATCCTTCTTTAGGTTTTGGAACAGACTTATAAGTGAATTTTGCTCGTGCCGTTTCAGGCTATGTCAACTGAGCTAGCTTTTATT